TTCCTTTCTTCCTTCCACTGATAACTAAGACTAAGAATGGCACGGTTCTGTTATTCATGGGGTGAAGCTTTGACTCTGTAAATGAGCTGTGCTTGATCTCTCTGGGTCTTTCTCTGAGGGCTTGTGGAGGGATTACTGCCAAGCCGAGTCAGTAATTGCCATCTCTGGAATATTGATTTTTAAAATCAAAAGCATGATGTTGATCTCTCTCATTCATCCCTCGCTGAGATAAATCTTTTTTCTTTTCTTTTTGCAGAAAATCCACAGAGCACTGAACATGACTTATGAGGATGTGAAACGGCAGCGGGTGAACGTAGAGAAAAGGTTTTTGACTTAGTTTTATTAATCTATTTTTCATTTTAACAGCAGCTTATGGCAGCTTATTTCATTTTGAATGTCAAAAATACACTTGGGTTTAAATATATGTTTCATTGTTTTTTACTCAGAATGCTGATGTTACTATAGCAAGATGAGGATCTTGTTATGATAGTGGAGCTCTTTTAATAGTTAAGAGTTATTATAAATAAATACCATTATAGTTCAGGGTTCCTCAAATCCGGTCCTGGAGGGCCACTGCCCCGCAGAGTTTAGCTAAAACCCTGATCAAACTCACTTACCTGTGATTTTCTGAGGATCCTGAAGACCTCGATGAGCTTGATCAGGTGTGATAGATCAAAATCTGCAAGGCATCGGCCCTCCGGGGCAAGATTTGAGGAACCCTGTAGTATTTATTAATAATTTAAATTATTTTTATATTTTGAGTTTTCATTTTAATTTCATTTTAAGTTTTAGTAAGTTTTGTTATGTGATTTAGTCATTTTATATTAGTTGTTGTTTTTTATATTTTTATTTAGCTTTATTTTTATTTCAGTTTTAGTAATTTAGTGGAGCTCTTATAATAGTTATAGTTCACTCAAAATAAATACTATTACAGTACTTATTAAAGCTGCAGTCCGTAACTTTTGTTGGTTAAAAATGATCCAAAATCAATATTTGAGCAAGTACATAACCAGCCAGTGTTCAAAACTATCACCTTACTTTAGCCCGATTCACAATGGTTAGCTTATAATAATGTTTTCTTATTTGAGTGGTACGGGTAGGTTTTCGCGGGAAATTCGAGCATGCCGCTGCGTCGTTATGTCACTTCTGTAAACATGAAGTTGTCCCGGCTACTAGGCTATCGCATGTGAGGATCCTGCAGGTGGCGGATCATTTATAGACTTTTCTAACAGCAGCTGGAATAATTAAATGTCAAAAAATTATTTTGATGGCAGATTGTAATCCAGAAAGGATTATATGAAACACATGTGAATGAAATAAAATTATATTCCGTACAGATAGCCTGGGATTACACAAGATTTGTATTTTAAAGACAACCAGTTCGAAGGGAGCATAGTTTGCTTTTTGGGTTAAAAGAATTTCTTGGTATGAAATTCGAATGGTATGACAATTAGATATTAGACTGTACAGAAATTGAAATCTACTCTCTTATACACACTATACTCAGTCACGCAATGATGATGTTGTTAACATGAATAATCTGAGAATAAAGTATAACTGTCAGTCATCCTCCATTCAGCATTCAAACTGCGTGTCGCGTTCGGTTATGACCATAGACTGTAAAAATACATGGACGTAGTGTCCGTGACGTCCCCCGTAGGTTTCTGAAGAGCTCAAAGTACGCAGAGCCAGCCGTCGCCATTTTAGCAGCGTGTCACCGCGCGTCCCAGATAATCCCGGATAATCGAAAATGGGCAAAGAGGCAGGAGCTGGTTGCTGAAACCACGCCCACCTAGCTCGACGGCAGTGTCAGCAGCGGCAATCCACCTGTCACTCAAGTGGCCACGCCCTTAATTATGCAGAACTTTAAGGCTTAATATTATTTAAACGGATGAGTTATAAAAAAATGCACCCCACTCACAATTGTCATTAAGGGCAAAATTAGCTATATAGACCAAAACCACTTTTTGTACCAGGCTGTAAACATATTTTTTTCTGCTGTAAAGTTGGGCATTTTAACATGGGGAGTCAATGGGACTGACTCCCTTTTGGAGCCAGCCTCTAGCGGCCAGTCGATGAATTGCAGTTTTAGTCACTTCCTTGTTGGCTTCACGAGAGAGAGTGGGAGGTTGCTGCTTGAATTCAACTGAACCTTTCCTTTCCACACTTTTCCATAATTCCATGACTTTCTTTCTTCTATGGAAGACATGGTGACTTTTTGATTAATATTTTGGCTGCTCTTTTCACTATAATAAAAGTAGATGTGGACTGAAGCTGTCAAGCTCCAGAAGCACCATTAAAGTACCATAAAAGTAGTTGCTGTGACTCAAAAAGCTCCAGAAAAGTTCAAATATAGCACACAAGTCATATAGATTACTTCCTTTATGGTGTTTTTTGTAATTTTGGAGCTTGAGAGCCCCAGTCCCCATTCACTTCATTACACAGAAAAGGATATTCTTCAAAAATTCAACAATGTCAGGATTTCCATTTTTCTGTGATATGTCCCTTTAACATATTCACTTATCTTGGCTCTGTCTTCCCAGTTGTAACATCCAGAAAGCCCAACCGCATCCGCCACCTCCACTCGGATCCTTTGCCAGATGGAACAACGAGAGCACCAAGGCAGCGCAGGAGCCCAAAGACAACAAGAGGGTCCATTTCAACCTGGAGACCCTCAACACGCGCCGACTCCTGCCCCGCATCATGTCGGAGGGGGGTCAGGCCAGTTCCACCTCCACATTGAGCTCCGGCGCAGGGAGTTTATTGGCGCGAGTGTGTGAAAACGGAGGGCCCGTTCAGCGGCCCGCCTCCTCCTCAGTGAGATCCTCGAGCCCCTCCAGAGATAGCGAGCTGGAGGAGCTCCAGGCCAAGATCGAGGAAATCCGCGGGCATTTGAAAGCCGCTCTGGCTCGTAGGGCGGAGCTTCAGACTACACTGGCTAAAGAACATGCGGCTGCCACCATCGCCCCGGCGACCACAGAAGCTCCGCCCACAGTCACAGCCACCATTTGCCCCACCCTCACCAAAGAGCCAGCAGATTTGAAAAGGTGATGTTCACATTTTCTGAAGTGAACACAGTACATATGACAATGGACATGTTTTTCTATCTTTCTCCTCCTCCTCCAAAAAAAAAAAAAACTTTCATATCTACCTGGACTCTTTTAAAATCATCATGTTAAGGCAACATTGACCCTTGGTACGGTTTTGCTAATGATAAGGCTAATAGGGCCTCGTGTGACTTATTTTCTAAAGCCCTGCTGTGAAAGCAGGAGCTACCTGGATTTTTTTTCTTCGAATCAATTAGACGTTTGTGGTTGAAACCTGAAGAACAAATGTTGAAAGCACCAAGCAAGTCCATGCTTTCCTCTCAGAGCTTTGTTTATTCACATCCCAGAAGGAGCTTTGCCTCTGCCCAGCTCTTGTTTTCTTGGTGGATATGGATCTGAATAAAAACCTGTTACACCCGAGGCCTCGTCATGGAGTCAAAGGTAGATTAGAACATTGACTTTGCTACTTTGGTAATGATTTTATAGCTTGGTTAATTCTGATCTCAAAACTGCTACTGTTATTGACCGTTTTCCCCTCCATAAAGTCATATGAATGGCCAGGTTGTCTGTTTGAATTAAGTTTGATGTTCAAGAAATAAATGTGATCTTGTCATAAAATTGGAATCTTACTTGAAAACTTTCAGCTCAGAGTAATATTAAACATAATGCTTATTTTTAGTGCTTATAAACATAATGCTTAATTTTATTAGCCCCAGTGGTGAACCACAAAACGTTTGCTGGTTGCACAGGCACAGTAAGAAAGAGAATACTGCCGTTAATTATAAAGCATGTAATTATATGATTTATGCTTGCTTATATGCTGGTGGCAAACATTTAGGATATTCACTTTAAGCAGATGTTGACAGAGATGCTTTCTAATGATGGTGTTTTTTTCCACACAGTAAATCCTACAGTAAATTCCCAGTATATTCAACACCCACTCAAAACACCTTTCTCATGACTTTTTCTATGTGAAGAGAAATGAAGAAGGTACTTTCCATGAATAGGTTACAACATGAGATTATATATATATATATAATACAGTATATATATATATATTTTTATATATTAACTTACCACACAAAAGAGGTCACAGGGTTGCAAATTTATCTTAAATTTAAAATTTAGCCATAGATTTTAAATTGTTTCAGTTGTCCTTACAATAACTTGATGTGGTAACAAATGTGGTAAACGCTAAAATATGTGTATTAACTTTAATATTAAATTACTGTCTTCTCACTATGCTGTGGAAGAAGTCTAAATGTTGCTGCATTAACAGAAAAAAAATGTTTCCTTTCAAAATTAATTGAATATTGTGATATCAAAAATACAGTTAATTTGAATTACCACTGGAAGTGTTTAAACAAGTAAACTGTACACTATTCATGGAATGTGCCTTGCCCTTGAATTACTGAAATAAATGAACTTTTCCACGACATTCTAATTTATTTGAGATGCACCTGTATATATATATATATATAAGCTTTAGAATATATAATACTTTTAAAATGGCTAAGCTTGCATGTTTTAAGATCTCGGTTAAACCATTTAAATTATGGAATAATTGATTCACTTGCATTAATATAGTCATATCTGTTCATCTGCCTTCTCAGACTTTCATGGCAGCAGCAGCAGTTTTTTTCTACCTTGAAAATGTGTTTAAATTAATTCTATTTTACCATAATCTCTTAATCTTCAGCAGGGAAGTGGTTGTACTCTGTCGTGAGAAGGAATTCAAACTGAGGAGCTCCATGTTTCAGTTGCACATGCTCCAGAGTTAATTATAAACTGGCTCAAACCCAGAGAAAGTTCATAATGAGTGGTCAATCTGATCTAAAGCAGGTTGGATTTGTTTGGTTTTGTCAACTCTAAACCTACTATGAAACGCCGAGTTTATTGAACTAGCTTTGTGAAACAAGCCACGGAAAGATGAAATTAACCACAACCAAAACATTCTAAGTGGAAATTAATTTCATCTCTTTATGCAGTTTTTAAACATTACAATTAAATACATTTGAATGACAGAATCAAGAATATCACAGAACTGAGAATTATTCTTTTCAGTTTCTGTCTAGACATCCTACACAATGCATCTAAACACTACAATCATCTGTTTCCTCTGACAATGGCAAATAGGCACAGAAAAATAATAATATTGAGGAACTGATCATGAAACAATAAATCAATCTTTCAGACCTGGAATCCTTTATGGATCTGAGCCTTACAAAATATTGCACAATTTGAATTAAAAAAAAAAAAAAAATCCAGAGCCTGGCTTTTACTTTGTTGCATAGCCTTTAAATGACCCTTCCCATCCACAGTCGCATGTCACAACAGACAACACTTTCCTTTGTTCTCTTAGCTTGCGGTGCGTTTTTACACATGGTCATGAAGATCAACAAGTCTGTACGGTTATTAGACACCCACCGATCATCCCAAGTCAAACATATGGAGAAACCTCTACAAAAGCAGAATATGTAAAGACAACAGATTTCCGGATCAGTGACTTCAGCTGATGGGCTGCAATGCTGTGAAATGAGCACAGTCTGACCTTCACTGCTTACGGCTGTTTAAAAAAAAAATGTCTGATAAAGTAACTACATGTTAATTCCTGCTTCAGTTGCTATTTTCTCTACTGGCTTTGAAGCCTCTGGCAAGGCTATCGACCCCAATGTACATGGCCAAAGACGGAAATACAAGGTTAATGTTCAGTTTTAGAAGCATAAGGCAATAATCTATCCACTCGCTCTCTCAAAGCCAGACTTCACCTGAAGAAAAACCAACGACTCACTGATGAGCTTGTGCAAAAGACAACATCCGTCTAAACTAACCACAAAAACAAATGTCTCTTGATGAAGATTAGAAAGCACAGAAATGACCCCATGACAGAGCTCGCCAATAAACTACATAAAAGCACTCTGACCAGCAATCGCATCGGACTCAGGAGTCAGACTGCTCCATACATATGACAATACCAAACCTGAACGCAACGGCAGGTCGTGAGCTAGACTTCAAATCGCATAAGGGACATTTTGGTGGCTCGCTGTAGTGAACAAACGTAGCAGGGACCAAAACAATTTTAACGTGACTAAATGAACTTTCACTGCTTGTTATATCATTAGAGGAACGGAAAGAAAGCCAAAACAATCCTAGCACAAGATGTGCAAAGTACAATGTATATTCAGATTTGAAGATTGCCGCCCGCTGATACCTGCAACTCCATACTCAAGAGCAACGAAAAGTACCATTATTGAGCGATACATCACATTTTAAACTGAATACTCCCTGTATTAAAAGTTTCAACCATTTTAAAAAAAAAATAAAAAAAAACATGTAAAGACTTCAATGATCACACCCTGACACATGGCATCATTTGACAATTCAATACGAATTTACTCTTAAGAACATGACTAGACAGCGGAAGTCTGTTTCGGCCCTCCTCATGTTCATGTTGGAGGTTTCCAGGATGTAATTACATAAAGCTCCATCACGGTTTCTCCTCTTGATGCCTTCTGGATTAATTTACAGAGAGGGGTGGCGACTGTAGAGCGTGAATTCATTCATTCCGAATGGGGGTGCGCGACTCAAGCTGGGGCCGAGTGGGAGTCCGAGCTCTCGCTTTTGTTCTCCGTCTGGCCTTCCCAGTCCGTGGAGCCTTTAAGCGTTTCTGCAACTCTGCAGTCTGTGTGTGAGGTCACTGGGGAGGAAGTTTCAGACTCTGTCTGCCCTCCTCCATCTCCAGGGGGACCCAGACCCTGAGCACAACCCTGTCCCGGAGGAACACTTGCCGCGCTAATGTTTCCGACTTGGTTCTCTCCTGCTGTGCTCGGACCACGCAGCTCTGTTACCCCTGCGCTGGACGACGTTGGGTCCTGGATCCCTCCCGGCTCCAAAAGAGAGTCGCTCAAGTGTGAAACTGACAGGACATCCGGGCCAATGGCGATCTCAGCCATCCAGTCGAGGTCGGAGTTTGATGGGTCGATGGACAGACCAGTATTTACCACCAAGCCATTGTGGGTTTGGAGCTGAGGTTGGTCCTGAGTGGCTTGCCGGTCCTGGCCATTAGTGTTCACGTTAGCGGCTGCGTTAGCTTGGCCAGCAGGCGCAGTGCTGCTAGTGTTGTTGTTGAGATTGTCCTGCAATGCAGTCTGGTTTCCTTGACCCACCTGCTGGTTCTGAAGCAGCATCTCCTGGATCCGGATCTGCTGCAGGATGGCCGGCAGCTCGTAGTGATGGAAAAAATAGATCATTGAGTGCTGCGCAAGACAAAAACGAAAAGGCTCATGAGCTACAAACAATTCTATGCAACTCCACAGATTACCCGGGTACACTGAAAAAAGCTGAAATAAGATACCTGAATGAAGAGCCAGGAAGTGACCAAAGCCAAACTGCTGTACTGGCCGTTAAAGCGGTAATGATACGCATAGAAGGCAAAGTGATACAGATAAAAGAATCTGAAAAACAGCACAAGAGATCTTTTAGATGCGATAATCGATACCATGGCATTAACCACCAAAACAACCCTAGTGAGCTTCCTTACTGTCCATTCTCTACATAGGGAGCTCACATTGACATGGAACCTCATAAGTGACTGATTCAACAGGAAGCAATTTCAGTACGCCACACAAATAGTTCTCCTGAGTACCCAAAAATGTTTCCAAAAGAAAGTGACGTTAATGAGATGCTAACAACACGGTACTCAAAGCTTTAAAAAAAAAAAAGCATTTGGCTCCAATTCTGTTTGATCAATGACTACTGAAAATGTTTTTTTAAAAACAATTCAGATTGATTCGCCAATTATGCATTCAGACCATTTTGTGAAACAATTTGCCAAAAAAGCTAACGTTTACCTATGATGCTGTCTAGGTAGGCAGCACACTAGGTTTTGAAACAGAGCTAATATATACACTATACTTCAGTTTAATTTTAATTTTTTAATAGGCTGATCTGAATAGTCAACCTAAGCCAGCATTTCCAAGAAATGACAAAGAACAGAATTAAACCATTGAGCTTGTGATATAATTAATATTTGAACATCTGCAGCTAAAACAAATGCGACCAACCTGACCAAATGTGATGTATCCTAACCAAAACTATGAGACCAAGTAAAGAAATAATTACCAATGTTTTTCTACTAAAATTACTCTCTAAACACCATTTCTGAAAATGGTGAGTTAAAATAATTATGTTAGAATTAATTATTTTATAGATAACAATCATCACGTTGATTAGCCCTAGAAAACGTACTATGTTTTTGTTTCAGACATACTGGCTGTCATTTTGTTTAGTTTGAGTTATTTTTTCACATTTATTATTCATTCATACAACCACAGTGACTAAGCGCTAATGGCTGCTTCATGACCAGTTTTGAAAGTTCTGTGTGAATTCCTCTAGGGGGCAAAATTGTGACAACTATATGCGAATGTTGGAGATATATTGGAAAGGCAGTTTAATTTCAAGGTATCACAATATCACAATTATCGAAACAATAATTCTAGTCTGTGTGAAACTAATCAAGCTGAAATGTGAGATCGTGATTAGATACATTCAGAACAAACTGTAAAACTTTTGTTCTGCAGCTTTCCTGTAGCTCAAACTGTAGAGCATGGCACTAGCAATGCATAGGCCAAGGTTTGATTTACCAGGGAATGCATGAATTGATAAAACGTATACCTTGAATGAAGTCGCTTTGGACAAAAGCGGCTGTCAAATGCATAAATGCAAACGTGAAGTGAATGTAAAACAGCAGTAGAGGAATCTGGTAAGACACCTGAACCACTGGCATTTACCTGTGCCGATGTGATTACATACCTGAGCCAGTGGCGCTTGCTTGTATTGGTGTGGCAGCAGATGGCATCGTATTGGTCCGCCAACCAAACAATGAGGATTATGTAGAAGGCAGTGGTTGTGTCATTGAAAAACTCAGACATGATGGCCTCCATCCCTGCAGACAGGATCAAAATAGAGTATTTGGTATCAAACGACTTTCATAGAACGTCGTAACAAATTTTCATGTAATATCTGAAGTCAACAAAATAAAAGATCAGGCATCAAGTTGATAGGAGACTAATAAAGACATGAGAACATCTCTTTAAAACCCCCAGCAGTGAGCTCTACCTACCTACAAGAGCCAGGATGACAGTGAGGAGAGGGGCAGCAGGGAAGGCAATGGTCATATTCATCTCCAACATCTGGAGAAGGTCCACTGAGAAAAAAAGCGAACATCAGAGAGATAAGTCTTGTTAAAAATAATGGCTTTTTAATGTGTTATAGACTTGATCGTGGAACATGATCGTATTCACAGTGTTGAAGACCCAAGAGGCTGATGGGAACTTACCTATAAAAACGAAAATCTGGTGGTGTGAGTACCGCAGCAGCATGGACACTGACAGAGTCTGAGAGAGAAAATATGAAGAATTTCCATGTGATTCAGCAAGGAACAGTTCACCCAAAAATTATAGTTCTGTCATCATTTGCTCACTTGTATGACTTTCTTTCTTTAATGAAACCCAATAGGTCCATTTCTGAAGAATATTCTGGTCACTTTTTTAATATAATTTAACTGAATGATAAAAAAGCAATAAAAAGAAGCAAACAGACCAAAGATGAAGTCATTATTTATTGCAAGTGAATGAATCATTCTATTGAGTCAGATCTTTTCAGAGAATCCGTTCATTCAGCTCACCAAATCTGAATGATACGGTTACAAAATCAGACTTTTTTTTTCTTCGCCAAATTTAACTGATTGACTCAATGATTTGGTACAGCTGTTAACACCTTGCTAATGGGGCAGATTATTATTAAGTGATGGCTTCAATATCAGTCTGTTTATCACCCAAAGCTATCATATGACCTCAGAGTATTCAGAATATAGTGCATAGGCCGTGTTTAGAATAATTTAAAGTGATTTTAAACCATTTTTCCATTTTCAGTTTGAAAGCTCTAGTCACCACTCATTGTAATTGGGTGGAAAAGAGATTAGAACACTGTAAAATTTTCACCTTGTGTTCCATTTATGAAATAAAGTCATTGGAATGAGTAAATGATCAGTTTTCATTACTGGGTGAACTGATTACCAAAATGCTCAAACTGAACTCACAAAGATAACCATGATTACAAAGGCTGCCAGGTAGGAGGTACGAGCCATCCACATACTGACAAAACGGTAGTGTTCTCCAGAGACCACGTTCCTCAGAAATCCTAAAAACAAACAAATCACACCCACTTCATAGTTACAGCATCATCAAGAAAAAAAACAAACATTCTTAAGAGAGAACATCTAATTTACCTTTGTTTTCCTCATTCTCTGCTAAAGCTTTCACACTGGACATCAGGATATCGTCATAGCCCAGGCATTCCTCCAGGAGGAAGCGACTGAAACCGTCTCCAAAGCACTGATCCTTCATGGGGTCTGAACACAGGCCGAGAGAGATGAACTACAACTTTATGCTTTCCCTTTTAAAAAAAGATATGAAGTCTTCTTTTTGAGGAAGAGTTCATAAAAAAATATATATATATTTAACTCACTCTCATGTCATTCAAACCTTTATGACTTTCTTATAGAACTGCACAATAATTTTCAATTAATTTATTATTATTTTTTTTTTTACATTATATCAGAATTACTGCACTTTCACATAAGAACAAATCAAGAAAACGTCAACTCGTATGATTTGCTTGCAGATTTAGTGGCAGCAAATGACTGTGTGAAAGAAAACAGACTGTATTACACTTTTATTTGAGCAGAATGTCTCAATAGAGATCACTAAACTCGAAATTACATGTTTGCTGATGTTTTAAGTTCATAATCACTTTTTTTCTGTAATGTAGAGAGAGCGCATGCGCATGGTTGCCAGGTTGGGACGATTAAGTAAACCACTGGACAGAAATGTATCCATTTAAGAGAAAAACTCTGGTTGACGGATTCAAACATTTGACATCTGGCAACCACAACCATGAAAGCTTGTGGAAGCTTGTTTCTAATGCAAGATAAAGAGAATGGCTAATTATGATGAAACGTTTTCAGGATAAATAACCAGTGGGAGAATATCGCAGATGATTATGCTTAATCAATCGAAAGAAGCAGAAATTGATTAAATGATTAAAATACGATTCATCATGTTTTCTTCCATGGAACACAAACAGTGACTTTCTGAAGAATATTCTGCAACAAATTCTATTAGTCTACTAGGTGTGTTAAAATAAGTCCATACAACTTCAATTTTGGTCTGTTTATGAATGAATTAATGAATGAATGGTGCATTATATTTATCACACAAAAGCAAAGTTATAAGTGACTGAAACACCAAGAAGATCAGTAAACAATAACAATTTTAATTTTTGAATATTCTCAAGAATATTAGAATATAATAGTGCAAAAATGGAATATTCTATTCTTTTTTGGATTTTGGCCAGGTTTTCTGTTGATGGCCTGCAGGGTGTGATGTACTCACCCAGGGTCACCACCATAACAAAGAAGCAGAAATTGATTAAATGATTAAAATACGATTCATCATGTTTTCTTCCATGGAACACAAACAGTGACTTTCTGAAGAATATTCTGCAACAAATTCTATTAGTCTACTAGGTGTGTTAAAATAAGTCCATACAACTTCAATTTTGGTCTGTTTATGAATGAATTAATGAATGAATGGTGCATTATATTTATCACACAAAAGCAAAGTTATAAGTGACTGAAACACCAAGAAGATCAGTAAACAATAACAATTTTAATTTTTGAATATTCTCAAGAATATTAGAATATAATAGTGCAAAAATGGAATATTCTATTCTTTTTTGGATTTTGGCCAGGTTTTCTGTTGATGGCCTGCAGGGTGTGATGTACTCACCCAGGGTCACCACCATAACAGGGATGTTGAGTCGCTGCCGTGTGGCCTGGGACAGCCGTAGGAATCCATATTCCAAAGAATATTCGACAATATACTCTTCTTGTGGCCACACTACACAAACAAACACAAACACTGACAAATGCTGACAATGTTTCATTGAATTTAGAAATTCTACTAATCTAGAAAGCTTTCATTTCACACGAATTGTTCTATAAAGTTTCTCTGTATTAAAAAAAAATACACTGTGACTATGCTGTCATTGATTTGAGCTTTCATTTCACACGAATTGTTCTATAAAGTTTCTCTGTATTAAAAAAATACACTGTGACTATGCTGTCATTGATTTGTGTGTGTGTGTGTGTGTGTGCGCGTGTTTACGGAAACATTTACAGTAAAGTTTATGTTCTCATTTTGGGGTTTCAAGCTTTAATTAGGGGGACTGACGCCCTGAAACCGTCCTGCAAATAACACCCTGTTCATCTTGCACATTTTAAATAACTTTTGAATCCAGCTGTGAAGTTTGGAAACTGTGAATTTGTATCTAAACTGTAAGAAATTACAGTATCTGGGACACTCAGACATCTTATTTTACAACAGGCCACTGTGATTGTTTCGGAAGTCTTGTGACACAGCACACATGGCCTCTGGGAAGGGCAAGGTTATAAAAGAATGTGGGAACAGAAAGGAAATCTGATCAGGGGAAGTGAGAAGGGCTGCACTGGATGGAGGGAGGACAGGGAATGAATTCACAAAGGAGGAAGAGAAGGAAGAGGAATGCACCAGATGGCTATTTGAGATGTTTACCTGCTCGAGTTAGCATCTCAATCTCGGAGACAGTCTCCCTCAGCGGCTGCATACCTTTAGAGGGGGCCTGGCTGAAGGACAGATCCTGGGATTCATTCAGGCTGGAGCCAGGAACACCGCCACTCAGCGACGGATTCAGACGTGGCTCGATATCTAGCTCAAACTGCATTTGTGAGAGAGAGAGAGAGACACAAAGGGCACAGTCTGTCAGAACGATCTGGAGAACAGAGGCCATTTTAGTGGAATAATTCACAATAAAATAATATTCTATCATTATTTATTGACCACGATGACATTCGATAAAAGTATGGAATTTTTTTTACTAGTAGCACCCACAAAAAAAAAAAAAACACTTTAAAATGTTCCATAAGCCTCATACAACTTCTGTGAGGACCAGACTGAAATTTAATATTATATAATAAATTCTATATTTAAATTCTAAAAATATATTCATATAATATTATACTTTGTTAATAATGATAATATTAATAAGAAACTTAGTTGTAGCAGTAGTAATAGCAGTTAGAATACAATATTATATTATTAGAACTAATACAATTAACAAATATTGAATTAAATTAGAAATTAATATTGGTTTACTCTTAGGCAACTGCATACTCTTCTGATCTTTTCATATTATTCATTGTATATTCATATATATTGACATTCATTCATTCTATATCAAAGTTAACAATAGTATTAATAACATTAATAATAAGTGACTTATTATTAATAGTAGTAATAGTAACAGTACATTATATTGCATAAATTAATACAAATACAATTATTTAAATTAACAAATGTTAGAAATTAATATTGATTTACTGTTGGGCAGCTGCATACTATTCCACTATTTTCACATTAATTCTATATAATTGCATAGAAAAGAGCTGAAAGGAGCACACACAAAAAAATATTTTTCAAGAACATTTATGCATCTCTTTTCTATACAAAGGCAGTTCATAGAGATCTGTGAAGTTTAAAAGAACATTAAAAAAACACCATAAATTCAAAGAACTTGTGTGAGGACCAGACTGTATTTGTTAGTTAATATTATATTAAAAAAATTATATAATAATAATAATAATAATAGTGAAATAACTTATATTAACAATATATTAACAAAAACTAATATTAGAAATTAATACTGATTTGACGTGTTAACAGCCTACGTTTTTGGGACAATATGAGAATGAGTACATAAATAACAATTAGCAATTTTTATATGAATTATGCCTGGCTCCCTATCCTAGTTTTCCTGTTCCTGTGTAATAAACTCACCCGTACTGTGCTGTTGTCAAACATCTCCATGGTCATCTCTTCCTCCTCTTCAGCGTCTGTGGGCACCATTGGCTGTCTGGTTTCACTTCCGTCTTCCTCTGGTTCTTTCACGAGGCCCTGGATTCCCTCCGTCTCGTAGAACTGCAGAAAGATGGGCGCGCGGCTGGAGTTGCGCTGGATCTCCACACGCAGGATGCCATCACGGGGCCATTTCTCCCGCACGTGCTCCAGGCAGTTGATTGGAGAGCGTGAGAAGGCAATGTGGATGTAGGCCAGGATGAAGAGCATAAACAATGCCTGCCAATCAAATGACAATGAATAAAAACAAAAACCACAGAATAGGCAACAAAGCAATAAACGTTGCACTTCAATAACAATAACAGCATGATATAATTTTAAAAAAAATACTCCATTTATATTCATCAAGTCAAAATTCTGAAACTTTAACTGAAATTGAGATAATTTAAATAATTTCATCAGAGACTTTATTCATGCTTACATGACTTTATTTTTTTATTTTATTTACTGAAAGTACAGGACAGAATTAAGTTAATCTGCTTTAAAAAAAACTGTTGTAGTAATAATAATAATAATTAATAGCGGCTTGTGTCTAGGCCTGTCGCAATAATCAATATATCGATTTATCGCGCAATATATGTACATGACCTCAATCATTTTTGGTGACGCAATATATCGCCCATATATTTACTTAAAAATTAATGCCACCATGTTTTTTTTACATTCCACTTGCGCCTGTCTCTTTTGCAGCTTCTCGTACATAACGTGTTGTAGTCATGAGGTGCTAGTTCAAATGTAAAAAATGCTTTATCTGCAGATATGGTCTTGTTTAGGGATCTGACGGACATCTGACTGCTAAGTAGTGATGTTTTTCAGCAAAAGTGTGCACCCTTAAATTACAGAGAAAAGAAGGTCCGGGAAAAATCTGTAGATGGAAAAATCTTTGTGCATTTTTCTTTTTTCTACTTGTTACTTTGCACTTTTTGTTAGAAAATGTCTTTAAAATGACAATAATATCGCTTATCGCAATTATTTCTGGGGCAATATATCGCACAACAAAAAGATGTTATCGTGACAGGCCT